GGATGACACGCATCGAGAAATTATCCAATAATATTTTTTTAAAAAATAATTAGTAATATGTGTCAAATTTAAAAATATTTATTATTATTTAAAATATTAAAAGTAATCAATCTTCCTCCATTTGACATATTCTAGTGTGGCACGATATGAACATTAGGATAATTCGACATAAAGAGTCGTGCCACAAGAAAAGTCACTCAACATGTGATTGATATATATATTTCCACTAAAATTTAATTAATTTAGAGCTGATTTAATCCTGTTTTTTTGTTTGATATTATTGACGTAATTATATGGGTGTTTATGATTATTAAAGAAATATGTAAGTATATAATTTAAAGTATAATTTTTTTTTGTGAAATTATGATATAACTGTGTAGAGAATGTAATTTATTTTTTTAAAAATAAAATTTTAATTAATTAAAAAATAAATATACATAGCAAATTTTAAACAACATCTTAAACTAAACTTTGAACAATTCCTTTATTAATTTAAATGTTGAAAAAAAGTCTTTAAAACACACTCAATGTTAAATAGAGGGTGTATTATAAAACAATGGTATGTAAGTTTATCAATTATCAAATTCTTCATTTCTCTTTCACACTAAGTTCTTTCACACTAAGTTGGATTGGAGTGACAAACGGGTGGATATTGGAGTATGTGTGAGTCAAAAATGAATTAAATAAATAAAATATTTAATTTGTTTATATTTAATATGGATAAAGAATGGTTAATTGATGAATAATATTGATGTCTAAGCTATCCATAATTCAAAACAAAATAAATGGTACACTTGCAGTTTCATTTCAATTCTAATTTGTAGCAAATACATTATCATTCTCGCTTTTCTCCCCTTAATTTCATTCGCTAATTCTTTTTCTCGTTTATCTCACTTTTTATTCAAACGCAAGTGTATAAATTTTATTTATATTTGTATAAAGCGAGAGAGATTGTATGTACAAATACAAATATATGTCGCTCCGTCTTATACACTTATAATTATATTGATACAAATCTTTTTCTGCCCAGTTCTTTTCACCTTTCTTTCTTTCGCTCTCGCTTTATACAAAAACAATGTACAATTTATATTTGTATAAATCGAGAGAGAACTTTGATATACCAATACAAATATTTTAATTTGATTCAATTGTATACAAATTCAAATTATATGTAGATATACACAAAAAATATATACATAACCAAACACAATTTTCATATACACGACGTTCGATTTATAAAAGACGCCTGATTTATATAAATCACTGCGATTTATACAAATTAGATGCTCTATAGTAAACTATATATTTGTTATTAAGCGCAAATAGCAGAAATTATAGTCATAGAGCACTAATATGTTTTTTATGTTTATTGTTTCTCTCTCTATATATATATATTAAGAAAATGGAGCGGCCCCTAATTATTATGATTATGATGCGTCTTTAATGGATTGCCCGTCCTAAAACGGATAGTTCACAGGCCCAATACCAAAAGCCTACACAAAGTTCTCTTCAATTCCAAAATAGATATACTCCTTTTTTTAATTTATTTGTTTGCTTTTGATATGTCTTAAAAATTTAGGAAGTAAAAAAGAATTTTAAATTTCATGATTTTGAATTATAAATATATAGAATGTATGAAAATATTTTTTAAATGGGAACAGGCTTAAATATGACATTGAACTTTTAGAAAAAACTCATTTATGTCATCAGTTAAAAGTTTGGCTCATTTATGTCGTTATCGTTAAAGAAAATGATCATTTATGCCATTATTTTTAACGGTGATTTTGCAAAATCATTTTTGACATGCGACCAATTATAAGTCAGTCACGTCATTAATTTTTTTAATTAAAAAAATCATAATTCTGGAAAAAAAATTGGATTAATTTTTTTTGATTTTTTTATTAAATAAATTGATGACGTGGCCAAATTATAATTGGCCAAGTCATCAATTTTTAAAATAAAAAAAACAAAAATCTGAATAAAAATTTAATTATTTTTGTTTGATTTTTTAATTAAAAAAATTGATAACGTGGCTAAATTATAATTGATCACGTGTTAAAAATGGTTTTGCAAAACCACCATTAAAAAATAATGGCATGAATGAGTTTTTTCTTTATCGATTAATGACATAAATGAGCTAAACTTTTAACTAATGACATATATGAGTTTTTTCTGAAAGTTCAATGTCATATTTGAGCTTTTCCCTTTTTAATTTGTGATTGTAAATATGCTGTATTGAATGTTCGAACTAAAAAGTTGTCCAATAGAGAAAAAAGTTCTTTGAACAGATTAAAAACAAAATCAAGATAAACAAATCGAAACGGATAATATATTTACTTTTAATCTTTTTTTAACTACTCAATCCCTACGTGGCATATGATTACTAGAGATTAGGTTTTGTAGCTTTTGTAAACTTTTTATTAATTTTATGTTATTTTTACACATAAAGTATTTTGACAAAAACTATTTATTTACCGTCTTTTGTAAGTGATCATAAGAGATTATTTTTTGAAATAAGCGGTTCGAAAATCCCAGTTTTCCCCAATTGCACATAGGAAGAAGACCTATGGACCTATAATTACCAACTGCAACTCTTCTTGTCCAAAAGAAAATTCTTACAATTAATTCTCAAATAAGCAATATATACCACCATCACTTGCAATATCTCAGTAGGTGTATTTAACAAAAATATATACTTATTCATGTCATAGTATTTGCTATTCTTTTGTAATAATGGTGTCCACGTAATAAAGAGGCTATGTATTAGTAATTAATAAAAACAAATCGATCGAAACGAACGAAATATATGACAGTAGTATACAAAGGCAGAGAGCCAGCTTGGACGCTAGAGGTAAGTTTCTTCAGCGGAAAATTATATAATTTATACATGGTTTAAATTAATTTTTATATATATTTAGTAGATGTTAGATTCTATTTGGCTTATTCGTATGCTAACTTTTTCATATTTTTGCCGTTTTAATAAAAATTCTAACTCAGACCCGAATCGTATTATTAGATTATATTGAAGCTATGTTGGAGAGATTCCCAATTTATTCTACTGACTAAATAACATTTTTATTTAAAGGATATATAGTCTATTTAGCCAATAAATAAAAGCTATATCAATCTCGTGATCAAGTAAGAAACTTGTATCCATGCAAATATACTTGTATACCTGTCAAAATAAAAATACTATAAACAACTTCAACATTCAGAATATTAATTATTTATTTACTCAAACAGATCATATGAAAATGTATATCTTGGAATTACCAAATTCTCTAAAATGAGAAGAAAAAAAAATACAGGCACCTAGCTAGTTTGGGAATAACTCTCCAATTCTCTTCACTAAATTCTATATATACTACTGTTACACCATGTGCTCTTCTGTCTACCCCCCCACCCCCACCCCCACCCACCCCCTTAATTAATTTGTTGAAACTTAATTCTCTCTGTATTTCTCCAGGCATGTCCAACTCAATAACCCTAATCAAGACAAACCCTAGCCCAATCAACTTATTAATGACACCCTATACATATCCAAATTGGAGGATGCAATTAATTTTTAATAAGAAGTCCAATTACCAAATTCAATATGTTCATAAAATTTAAATAGTATGTAGAAAGTAGAAACTCCTATGATTTTCAAAATACCAAACTAAATTTTGAAACCATAATTGAACGTATTAGTGCTTTAAGACTAAATTTAAATTCTGAATCTGTTCGTATGTTTCTAAAACTTAGTTTACCCCCCCCCCCCTCTCTCACCCCCCCCCCACAAAAAAACACACAGTTGCGAATGTAGTTTTTAAGTTGCAAATTTGTACAAACCTAATAATTGTATCTTAGATCATAAGTTCTGAACTCGAACTCATAATATTAAAATATTGAATCCGCCCTGTTTGCGATACAACACTAATAGCATGTAGAACAAAGAACAAGGTAAGAAAAGCTCACTACATGTGTAAATTAAATGATAGGAGGAGGAGGGAAAAAGAGGGGAAAAAAACATTAATGGTAAAAAAATAAGTTTATATAAAATTTGTGAATATTACAATATGCATATATACATAATTGAGGGAATGTATATGTAATATATAAAACATAGAGGCTTGAATACTAGGTCACTAAATTATATGATATAGGGAGGCACATTATATTCCATGACTTTCTTTAAATCCTCATCTCCTTCACTAATTCCATATCTTTAATTAATTACATATAAAGTAGGTGAAGTAACCTAGCTATAATAATTATACACTCAAAGCAACAAAACAAAAATGGTCTTAATTAAATCCTAAGAGTCATGATGTGATAATATTCTTTTTGACAATTAAAAAAATAGTATTATACATTACATGATATACTTAAATTGATTGATTCCCTTGTAGTTGGTGACAATTTTGGAAGGATTTGGGGGAAAAAGTGGAAGAAGAGAACACAAGTATATGGCTTTATTATGTTGAGAGTACTGATCTTAACTGTAAAAAAAGTTGTGACACAGATCTGGATGTGATAATAATACAAGAAAAAGGGAATCCATGTTGTATTGTATCTGACTTATATATATGTGTCATTAAAAAAATAAAAATTATGTGTATGTCTACTAGTTTTATTTTGTACTGACAGAATGTCAGTGAGGTACTATTGATGAATGGGAAAAAGAGTTCACTGCATTCCATGCAGTTTTTAGTCAGAGTTTCTCTTCACCCCACTCCCACCCCTATCCCACCCCGCGGTCAAAATAAGCGATTTTAGCCCTTATCAAAAGAAAATTGATTTTTGAACTATTTTAACGCTTATCTCACATCGAGATACTATAGAAGAACAAATATCTTTTTTTAGAAAATGACTTTTATCATAACAAACAAAGTCTTATAAGAGGAATGAAAACCTTCTTTCTCTAATTTGTTATGCTTTATTAACCTCAAATACCTATTCAATTGTTGATTTTTATCATAATTAAGGAAGTTAATACAAGATACTCTTAATTAAAGAGAATATAAAGACCATTAATTTGTAGGCAGCCCTAAATATACACCCTTGAGGTTGTTTCTTAAACCAAAAGTTAAACTTCTTTTAACTTTCTAGTAACCATCAATCAAATAGTTTGTAATTAACTGTTGAAGTGTGTGACCATCTCATATGAAAACCTGAGTCGTCATCAAAAGTACCAATCATCAATTAATGTGTAACTATTGAAGTGTGTGTGACTATCTCATCTTAAAACTTAAATCAGAAAGAACACATTCTTATTTACTTAATTATATTTTCACACAGTATATATCATGATTTGAGAACTCGACAAATTCCTTCATCTAGACACCTAGAATGCATCGATCATCTTGTTTTTAGCTTTCTTGGAGATACCTATATGCAAATAGCATAAAATCCATCAATCAAAAATTTATAAGTTGCACAAACAAAATATTTGACAAGAGAACTTCCTCATGCTTAGTGAAATGTTTGAAGCCTTTCATAATATCTTTAAGTCATTCTTACACTCTTCAAGTTTAGCTTAAAATTATCAGAAAACAAGTGAAAAGATAGAAAGAGGAGAGGTAGAGTGAAACATACAGAAAGAAATGAACAAGAGACCACAAGTTGTTGTTGTTGTTGTCATCATAAAAGTTGTATTTTTTTTTGGCCAAATTCACTTTACCTTTGGATTTTTCAAAGCTTCAACTCAAGATCCAATTCTTCTATTGCACTAGGGATCCTTTCAAGTGCTTCTGATTGGGGACGACACCTTTCGATTGATGAACTTGTTCTAGGGAAGAGATTTGCAAATGAAATGTTATCTTCTTGATCAACTTTCCTCCTTTTGTAATTAGGTTCAACAATATGGTCATGTTTTGCCCTAAAGCTTGAGTCTATCATGACTTCAAGATTCCTCTCTTGATCTTTTTTGAAATCTATAGATTTCATCTTCTTCTCTTCATCATTTTTCACACTAGAGAGACAAGAATATTTGTCAGCCACCAAGTTTGACCATGATGAAGACAAGCTATTCTTTTTCTCTTCATGGACAATTGATGACAAAGAAGAATGATGATGAGTTTCTAAGGTCTTTTGAGAAGAAACCCTAATTGGAACCCCAGAGGCAGAGTCAGAATTAGGGTTATACATAAAGGTATTACAAATTTGAGAAGGGTATTGAACATGGCTATTGTGATGATGATTAGAATGAAGAGGAGGAGTAGGAGGAATAAATACTTGATGATCATGAACACTTGGACTATTAGATGGAGGAGATTGTTTCATTCTTGCTCTATCCCTTCTATGAACATTCATATGGCCACCTAGAGCTTGAGCTGACCTAAATTCTCTTCTACAAAAGCTACAAGTATAAGATCTTGGTGGCCATATACACCCTCCAAGTGCTCCAGCTGCATCTTCAGCAAAAGCTTGTTCCTCCCACGAATCGCCATACGATGAAGGATTATTTGATAATGTCATGTCATGTTTTCTCTTTGTGCTCATCCAATATCTTGTTTGCTCCATTTCACCTCACAAATATTCTTGAAAACGAAGAATCAAGGGATAAACAGAGTTGTGATTATCCTATTTGCTAAATATTTGACCAATAGAGAATAATATTGTAGGGAATAGATGAAGAAGACATCAAATGAAGGATATTGAGCTAAAAGTTGTTTTAAGTTAGGGAAGAGGAAGGTGGAGTGGTGGGTACTCTATAGACCCTCTCATGCAGCTACTCTTTTGTTTTTAGTCGGCCTTCAAATATAGAAACAGTAGAGAAAGACCTATATTAATATTAATAGTAGTACTATGCATTACTTTGTTTTTTAAAAGGTTTCTAATTGTTCGATATCCTGAATCTACTCTACTGACCTGACTAATTCAGAGTAAATCATTAATATGATCTATATGAAGATGATTCACTTACTACTCGGAGCTTCGCTCGAGTATAAACTTTTTTCTAATTAAGAATGAGTGAATCAATATCCATCACACCACAATCCTTACTAATCTCATGCATTCACGGAATTGGAGCTAGTTAGAGTTATGGTTTTAAAGTTTGAAAGAAATCAATTGTTTCGATCGAAATTCTATATTCATCTGATAAGATTTACGTAGTCATATTAACAATTTATTCAAAATTCAATAATATCATTTTTTCTATAATACATAGCTCATAAATTTCGAATTTTAAATCCAAATCTTATAAGTAGTGGGGTCCTTATATATGACCATTGTACGGTGTGAATGTAAACTGAGATCATCTGATTTTTACTCATTTATTTAACGGTCACGAGGGATAGAGATTTTTGTTTTGACAATTATCAAGTACCCTTTCAAGAAAATAATAAATTATAATAGCTGTAGATAAGCTATATTCCTATAAACCCTATGCTTTATGAGCTAGTTTTTCACATTTATATAAAATTGTTGTTTTTAGGAATTTAAAATTAAAGTTAATTTGCGATTATTTTGAATTATATGTACCCTTGATATTAACGAAGTAAAAATGAATTTTTACGAAATAATTCACTTAGGCTTTCACTTTCAATGGTGATGAAGGATTTGACAAAGACCCTTACCCCTATTTCTCTATGTATAGCGTAAAAGAAATAACTACAAATAGAGGAAGGGAGGCATAAAACCAAAAACCAAAACATTTACATAGACAAAACATTATGTATCTGAATTCTATGCCATTATTGTGACTTTTAGGTAACACAACATATAATATTAAAGAATGTTTAAGTTTAGATTCACACAAAAAAGATAATTAATTGTGTTTGTACGTTCAACATAGGGGAAATTATTACTTGAGGTAAAAAGTTGTCTTAGGACAAGAATTTGTTGAGAATATAATTAAATGACATGATACAAGAGCAAGTAGAGATTTTGAGATCGAATCTCATGATTACTATGCATATTAAAAAGAATTTTCACGTGTTTGACTCATAAAAAGGAATAAGACTTTTATGTGAAGGAGTATTGAGAATACAGTTAAATGATAAAAAAAAATGTGTTTTTTCTAACAGTTTAAACTAAAAGGATCACACACTTCATCAGAATTGAAATTAATCTATCATAATTAAACTAATTGAGCACTTTTTGCAAATAAAGATGTTAGATCAAGAAATTTAACAAGACATGACAAAGGGATAAAATTGAAGAGGAAAAATCTCCCTTTGATCAATGTTTTATTTGATTTTTGATCCGTTAACGTCAAAGTCAAAGAACAAACAAAATTACTTAATAGTTAGGGATATAGGATATATAAACCATATTTGCATCGATATAATTCGAATGCAATATAGGTTATTGGAATTGACGTATGATAGCAATAAATAGAAGTGGTCTGTTTAAGTTGTCCGAGTGAAAAAAAAAACTCCATAAGCATCGAGTGCTCAAGTAAATAGTGTTGCTCAAAGAAGTAATCCAGCGAAAAATAAGAGAAATTATGAGTAAGAATTGTAAAATCTAAATAGATTTTTACTTTCAATAAAAAAATTCAAATTGTGAGCAACCGCTTATACTCATAAAAAAATATTCTAACATTCCTGATAAAAACAAAATTTCTGATAGAGAGTGTGTTGTTTTTGTTTTATTTTATTTCAAAGTGCTAAGCATATATTGCATATACAATATTTACACAATTAATTGGTAGGATTATTCTTTGATTAATAACTTGGACAAACTCACATTTAACTAAAAATGAAAAAAAATCACATAACGTGTTCAAGCTGTTCGCAAAATTAATTTTTTTTTAAAAAAAGGTTTCGTAAAATAAATTTCTACATAGGATTTGCACATCAAAATTTCTCAGAATTGTTCCCTATTCCTTGCAAATAAATAACTTATTATAGGCATAATTAATATTATGGAATATTTTTTTAAGCCTTAAACACAGGAAACATGTTGGTCACAAGATGAAGAAAAACAGGATCATACGTTAACGATAATTCTCGATCAATCAAATATCTAAGAAACATTCGATTTTTTGACTTTGACCTAAGATTAAATGCTTAATGATCTAAGCAACAGATTTCCAAAAAAAATAAAATGAAATTGAATATAAATATGTTTGGCGTAGGGTGGGATGGTGGGGGGGGGGGTAAGGGGATTCATGGATGCCTTCATGATGATTGAAAGAATAAAATTTGATCAGAAGATTTCATTTTTAATCAAGAGAATGAATTAATTGTTATAGTTTTGTAGTGGACAAAATATTTTAGGTAGGTTAGGTTTTGGGTTGTGTCATTATTTATTTGGAAAAATATCTAATTACATAGCTTGTTTTATCATACTATCGAATATTTTCTCTCATTTCAAAAAATTATAAAAAATTTATACTCTCTCTTATTCTTGGATACATCGATTTACGCAATGTATTGATCGGATACATCACTTAATGCAATGTGTCGCCATCACTTTATGCAATATATCAGTCGTATATATCACTTTATGCAATAAATCGAGATGTTGAAGTGATGTATCTAAAATCGGGACGCAATGTATCAGGATATTTTGGAATGTATCTGGATTCTACCGAATTCAAGAAATTTTTGTAATTTAGGATGTAATTAGCTCCTAACACTACAAAAATTTGTATAAAATTTCCTTTACTTGTCTCCTATAAAAAATTTATACCTAGTAACGTTTTAGTAGTAAAACGTTACTATGAATAACGCATATCAATCTAACGCCATCATCTTTTTAAAAATGAAATATACCCTAAAACGTTACTGTGAAATATGCTTATACTAGTTTTTGTAAAAAATTTAAAAAACATATTATTTTGATAAATTGCTTTATATAATGACTTAGTTTGATCAAAACCTCTGAAGTGTATTACGTCTAGAAATATAAATTGTTGGGTAATGCATTCATTCCTATGGATAGATACCTAAATGATGTATTAAGAATAGTTCATGATCATAGTCGTGATCGAACATGTTATATATTCATGATCAAACATGTCACAATATGTTTGATAAACTTAACAAATAAAGCATGCACATTTCTTTTTGTAAACTTTTGGCAACTATGGTACATCTTAATAAGTGTGTGATATCAAAACTAATGTCATTGATTGGTTCGAATTCTTCGAGCAACATATTGCATGTGACATGTATTGGCGTAGGGGGTGAGATTGAGTTTAATAAGTCTAAACGATTTCGATCACTAGATTAATCAATCTGTAATATTTACCTTGATCTACATCTATAAACACAAACGAATGATCAAATCAGGATATTATATATCATTAAGTACTCCAAAAAATCAAACGTAGTCAATCAAAAATTTGCATATTTTTCTGATAGTATAATGAAATAAATGCAAATTTTATTTTAAATCAAATGAAAGTGAAACAACTAAAAGGACCAAAACAACTATAGCCGCCCTCATCCACCCCTATTTGTCTTTTTTTTTTTTTGTATCACTCTTAAATTTGTCATGTATGTATATGGCTCACAAAGCTTATCCAACAATAAATATGCATCTTAGAGTCAAATATGTCTTTATGGTAATTATAAGATTATAAATAATCTAATCTTACTGAGTATGTCACTTCTACTAAACTACATATACTAAACATTTGAACAACATCTTTTTAAGTCAGAAATCCATGTGATTTTAATATTTAGCCAGCAAGTACATGATTGATTAATAGTGCCAATAACATAAATACAAAATATGACAGTCAAACTACAAGTGCCTTATATTGGCTTGACTTAAAAGCATCTTTTTATGTAGAGTTTATTTTCAAGGTCCCTAAAGCGATTTGATTCTATTTATGCATGTTTTATTATCATAATTATTAATTCTTAGTCGATTATTAAAAAATAATTAAGAACTAATTGCTTATTTTTATATGATTTTTGGCCTAATTGCTCCAATGAACATGTTTCAAGTTTGTCATCTTTGGTTATAACTATTCGAGGACTGTTCTATGTTGTAACTTTTTGTTAGATAACATCTCTAGCTAGAGAAAAATAAACAAATTTTCTTTGTTTCTTCTCTTTCTTTGTATCCTCTTGACTAGGGACTTAAATACTAGTACAAGTCAATTGAGTCCCACATTGGTTGGATTAAGTCGAATATAGATTTATTAAATTGTGAGGGTACCTAATGATTGCGGTATGAGTGTCAGCGGGTAATATTAGATCAATAATTTTAGAAAATATTTAGTTTCGTAGAGAGGTTATGGTTTTACGGGCACTATTAACTTCAAAATAAATCTTCCTCGGGTGGGATGAGGAAAATTGATATTTTTATATATGTGATCTTAAATGTCAGTTATCACCTCATGAACTAACTTTTGAAGTTGAATTTGGTTTTATCATATATGGTTAGATCCGTCTTAATCACTGTTCAATTGATATTAAGTCCCTTAAATCATTCACACTCCGGATGTACAGTCCTGAGTCTAACAAAGGAGCTAGGGAGTGTTGAGTTTCACATCGGTGAGCTAAGAAAAACTTATCTTGTTATATGTTCTTGCCTTCTTGGTATATCCTGAGTAGCTTATAATCTAACTTTTGAGTTGAGTTTTATCGAAAAAATCATATTTTATCAAGAAGTACTATATGTGTATTTTATTAAACCAATAAATGTACTATGTGTTATTATTTATAGTTTAATTGATACTAATTTCCAAATTCCAACTATATTTGCTAAGGATATCTGACAAGAACAGCCCAACTAATTAAGGGTCCGTCTGAAATTCTTAGAAATTAGACAAATAGAAGACTATTTCTGTAGTAAAATAAAGTGTGT